GTAAGGACCCCTCAGCCTGAGCCTCCCAGGGCAGCTCCACTGGGCTCATCCCCTGCTCTGCTGGGCTGAGAGGAGACAGGGGGTTCTCCAGCTTTCTCTATGTAAACCGGGTGGGGAGGCTTCGGGAGGCCAGAGATCAGGGCCCAAGGACTGAACCACCTGGCTGGGTTTCCTATCAGGCTAAACACTCACTCATACACACCGAGTCAGGAGTTCTTCTGTCCTAGTTTGCGGATAGGGAGTTAGTGCTGGAGACAAGCAGAGAGAGGGCTGAGGCCCCGATTCCTCAGAATGACAAGGCTGCATAAGTACGGCCTTTGAAACAAAAACCAGATTCCTCCTTTAACAAAGAAAAAATAGCCTTAGGCTTCTCGTCAACAATTTATGTCTTATCTGTATAGGTCTGTAAGTATTAACTCCGGCCAAAATTCTAGAATAATCCATGTTTTTGTGCACATGGATGGCTGGCTGTGTCTCAACAAGGGGTGCTTTCTGTTTGATATACTGCACACTCATGTCTCTCTCCCTGGGGTGGGCAGGGGATTAGTGGGCACTGGAACCATTGGTGTCTCCCAGTTAACTAGACTGACGGGAAGCAGGGTCTGAGAGGGGGCACGGCCAGTCTGCTGCTTAGGGCTGAGGATGGGGAGGTCTGCTTTAGACCTGCAGGTCTGAGTTCCTCACCAACCAACCTCTTGTGGAAAACAGCTAGAAACTCTGGACAGGAGTTAAAGAACAATTGCCCGAAGCCTCTGAAAAGTAAACCAAAGCAGGCCAACTTTAGAGGGAAGTCAAAACTCAGGAGGAAACAGCCGATGCAAGATGTTGACTGTTTATTACAGTCTTGCACGGGGTGACCAAAACCTTGGTAGAAAGCCCACCTTCCCTCCGGTCAGCAAAGCCAGGGAAGAAGCCCAGTACCACTAAGGTTTCTGGGTAGCAAGGGGGAAATGCTAGAAAGGAGAAAGTCACAGAGAGGAACCCCAAATTCTGTGTCTAAACCCTCTCCACCTCGCTGGCTGATGCCCGGGACCAAGTGAAAGCAGGCTGAACTAGTCTGAGCTGTGCCCGACGAGGAGGCAGGGGGTGAAGTCTGAGCCTGGCCTTGTGAGTGACCTGCTAAGACAAGTGGAGCACGTTCTAATTCCAGCAAGAGGTGCCAATTAGCTGCCTATTTGGTAAATCTAGGCCCAGCCTGGACACAGGGTGTTCGGAACAATAATCAGATACTTATCATCCCTTCAACTGCTCAGAACCATGGGTCTGAGATTTTTCATCTGACCTGAAACCACTTATTCCTACATTCCATCAGATCTAGGACTTTTTTCTCCCCTAATCTTCCTTCAAGGTTTCCCCTGAACCCCATGGTGTGTGGGACAGAGAGAGTCTACACTGGTTCATACCAAACAATGCACTCTAAGTTCCTCTAGTGGTAATGTCAACTGTATCCCCACTGGAAACCGGAGTGGGAAGTGTTTGGGGGAGGGCTGGCCCTGAGCTGAGACACTTGTCTTACATCTTCTGCCAGAGCCGCTGGGGAGGCAGGGAGGACCACGCTCCACCCCACCACCTCCGAGGGCCCATCTATGGTTGCCTGGGTTTGGATGGGGAGGAAGACGCAGGACCCCAGCCTTGAGGTCTCAGGAGCACAAGTCTTAGCTGCAAAATGACGTGGCCCCAGCTTCTGGCTTGTCTGGTGTCTATGGCCACTTCCCAGGGTCTCTGAGAACAGTGACGGAGTCCGTGGCAGATACTCTCTGCATGCCCTTGGACATGTCCGCTCTTCGAAGTTTTTGCAAAATCTTGTGTCACTGCCTGTGGCCTGAAGTGTCCTTTACTTTGTGACTATTCAGGAAATATAATAGCCCCTGGGTTCCTACAATGTACCTTTGTCTGATGGCAAGTGGTAAATCGAGGCCCAACCTACTCAAGCTCCTTAGGGGGCGAGGACACAATTTCCAATACTGGGTTCTTACAGGCACAGCCCCCAAAAGCCATTATTTTCTTCACATCTTGGCCTGGGATCCAGGCTCTTGGATATATGTGAGCCCCTCACTCACCCTGACTCCACATTCAGGAGGCTGAAGTCCCCCCCTCCAACACCTTGAATTGTTCATAGGAGGGAGTGCCACAGACTATAGATGGAATGCCCAGAAAAGGCAGAGGGGTCTCCTTTCTCTATAGAGGGGAGGGTGTCACCTACAAGACTGAGCCCACTGACCATTCTCAAACAACAGGAGAAGTTGCAGAAATGGCATCCGACCTCCAGGGAACTTTCCCTGTATTCCCTTTATGCCCCAGGGTAATGGGCCAGAGTCAAATGAGAGAGGAGAGGTTTCAACTTCAGTGTCATCATCTTGAGAAATCAGTACAACTCTGCTGGTTGTGGTCTTGCCCATGAACCACTGGACCAGGACACCAGGGAGGCCACCTGCTGCTGACAAACTGTGCAGTTTTGCAACCTACCTGCTGCTGACAAACCTCATTCTAAGGTGAGACATGGGATGGCCCGCAGAGTGTGGTGGAGAGCTTCAGGGCCACACCTCTGTGTTCCCGGGGCCACTTGATGACCTGGCCAGACGCTCATGGTCCTTGTGTACAAGTGTGCTGGGTCCTCCCGGGTGCCAGCCCATTTCATGAGCACAGTACTTGTGCATGTGGGAAACACGGGCCCCAGGTAGGACTTGGCCCTGGGGGAGAGCTCATTAGACTAGTTGGGTTTCCCCTGGGCCAGGACCGTTAAGCTGACGGTTTGCGGAGGCCAACCTCATCCTCTGCGCGCGGGACTTTCTCAGCCCCAGGCTGAGCCCCACTCCAGGTGCCCTGGGAGTGCCCAAGGTTTCCCCAACCACACCCACTTCTAGCCAGAGCTCCTGTTGGTAAGGCAGCCTCCCTTCCCTTCACCTCCGGATGATGGTCAGCAGGTATGGACTTCTCTGTCCAGGCCAGAAGCTTGTCTGTGTGTGCTGCTGCCAAATATCAAAATCATCTCAGAACCAAATCCTTAAATTGGTTAACCTTCATGTAGAAAGAAATAATGGTGCTCCTACTACTAGTTTCGAGGGGTTAAATAGTTACAAGAAGGATTTTCGGTTTCAGTTTCTCTGAAGAGGCAACGGAAGCCCGTTCTAAGGAGACTGCAATACTGAGCAGGATCACTAGAGGGGAGGGCAGGCCTTCAGAAAGTGGCCCAGACGGCTTTCGCAAGTTGCCCGGAGGTTCTCTCCATCACATCACTCCCCGCAACCTGCACCCCTTAACCTCTCCCCAGAGGCCTCTTCCCAGCCCCCTCTCCAAGGAGTCGCTCTCTTCCCTCCCACTTCACCGCCAGCAACCCCTCTGGCTTTGTACAAACTTTGCCATGACAGGAGTCTGCAGCTCAGCCACCACCTGGACAGTCGCTGAGATTCTGCTCCGCCCCCACCTCAGCCCCTCAACCCTGAAATATTGTGTATTATGACCATGCAATTGCAAGAGGGTAGGACTCCCAGCCTCTTTACCCATCTGGGGCACAGGTAGATGAGAACTCGTGGAAAGAGATATGTACCCAGATGCTGGACCAAATTCGGGGTGTTAGTGGGCCCCTCCGAAGTGCATCCCTTTCCCTCACCCCAGTTCCAAACCGGTGGACAGATCGGTATAAACGCGAAACAGATGGGGTTCAAAATACCAGCTTTCTTCCTGATAAAAGCTACATTGGGAGTCATGGCTTAGTATGTAGCAAAAAGGGATCCCTCAAACCGAACCCCCCCAGTTGAGCTTATCCACAGAGCCTCAGGCTGCTCCAATCAATCATACACACCCCCAGCCTCCCACAGCCCCCCAAGCTCCTGTCCCTGCGCGCTTGACCTTGGAAAAGCCACAGAGCCCTGGCCTCCCCTGACAGAGAAGGAGAGGGACAGGGGACACTAGAAAAGGCTGGTGTCATCTGTGTCCCGTGGAGGCCAGAAGCAGAGGATAGTTGTGCCCAACAGTCCTTCCACCCCTGCGAGGGAGGGAGGGAGAGAGAGAGGGGCAGAGAGACCCAGGCGTGTGCAACACCTGGTGTAGACACCTGGCCCATGGGTAGAGAAGTCCTTGTCAGCATCCTGGCATCCCAGCCAGACTGCCATTCGCTTCTTTGGGGGAAAGACAGAATATCCATGGAAACAGGGTAGAAACCTTCTTCCCCTGTAGTTTCCAAATGTAATGAAGTCTTCTGGGTCACTTCTCAGGCTTTGTGCAATGATGGCTCAGATCCGAAGGAGAAATCTGCGGACAGGCCAGACTCCGAGGTGGAGGGTCACCCTCCCCGCGGGGCTCACCTCCCCGTGTGCGCCCAGGCCCTGTCAGTTCCAGCCTCCCTTTCCATCCAAGGGAAGCCTATGCTGCTCAGCCTTCCAGTGACTGCTTTTCGGGTGTCGCAGGGCTGCAGTGGGGAAGCAGCCCTAGCGTCAGGACACCTTCAACCCAGGCACCTGAGATGTTAACCAGCGTCACTGCCTTGGCTGTGGCCTTGCAGATTTCCCTCTTACCTCTGGCGGATTTCCAGGAACACTAAGCACATTTCCCCTGGTTTGTGATGCTGAGCATTTGGGCTCTCTCCAGCCCTGTGTTCCCGCTGGGACCTTGCTGGGTCCAGGCTCTCCCACAGGAAGGAAGAAGATGGGAAGTTTCTGTCTTTCCCTCTTTCGCCCCCCCAGCCATGTCAGCGAGGGGAAGGGGCAAACACGGAGGTCCCCCCTGCCCACCCCATTACACTCAGAAACCCTCTCAGACAGAAGGGCAGGAAGCGCTTGAGGACACAGAGATGCTTCTGTGTCTTTGCGCCAACAAGTGGACCCCTGGGGCCTGGCCCGGCTCCTCCGGGCCCTGATCGTCCCTCCTCGGCCTCCATTCCTGCTGTTACATGTCTTGGGGCCTGAGAACCCTCGGGGAGCTGCAGGAGAGAGTCAATGCCCAACAACTCACAGATACTTTCACTTCTCTTTTCCCCATTTGGGCGGAGCTCCCTGTGTGTGAGGCAATTCACAAACTTCCTGCTCTGGGCTCGGCAGCCACCCTGAACCAGACCACCCCAACGGAGGGTTCGGAGGCCACACTTGAGGCCCAGGCAGGGCCCAGGCGGGGCCCAGCGGGGGGCCCGGAGTGGGAAGATGGCCGATGGAGGCAGCGACCTCAGCACCAGGTCAGTCTTGATCTCCTTCCCTCTCACCCCTGTCTCTCTGGCCATGGCCTGCTGTGCTGCTCTAAAGACTCTGAAGTTGAGACACTAAACTAAATCTCTACTTTAGGCCTGGTTTGCAAGAATGCCGGCTTGCCATATACGAAAGGGCAGGGAGAGCTAATGAGGAAATCAGGTGTTCATCCAGCTTGCCACCACACACACGACCTTCTTGCTTTGCAACCCTGCTCAGCTGGAGGCCTGTCTGAAGTGCCGGCCCTTTATGAGGCTTGCGACAGGGATTTGCTGTCTCCTCGTCATGACCTCTGAACCTTCTCCTTTCCCTCCCGCCTCCTCTCCCTTCACGAGTCAGTGCAAAGAAAATACACAATTCAGGGTCAACACCGGACTTAGGCTCAACCACGGGGTGCTGTGGTCTCACATCTGTCCTGTGAACCGGCCTCCATCCGGCCCTGCTCCTCTCTGGCTGCGGGGCTGGGTTCTTCCTCTTCATCTTGACCAAAGGAAGTAAAAGGAAGAAAACCAAAGAGTAGTGCAGGCTCAGGGGTTTGATCTTGACTATAATTTTCTGTTCTGGAATGGGTTATGTCTCTGACCTCCCCCCGAAAAAGGGGGGGGGGCGGAAAGCCTATCTTTTTCTCTACTAATGGGTCAGAAATAATATTACTTAATATTTTAATCAATTTATTGTTTAATACAAAAGAAATGCATTATACATTCTTGTTCATAAATTTTTAAACAAAATGGAAGTATGTCGAGGGAAAGAGCCCTGTCTATCACGTACCCCACTGGCAGCTTCCACACCGGGTCCTATTAAGTATTTCTGGCATAGCTTTTCAGATCTTATTCTATGCATTTCTGTGTATAGCTTCGTTACCTAAATATGCACTTTGTGCCTTGTTTTTTTAATAAATGGGATTATATTGTATAGGCTGTTTTGCATTTTTCATTTTCTCTTATTTTAATAGTGAAAATCCTAGAGATCACCTTAATATAGATCTACTTCATTCTTTTTAAGAGCTACATGCTATTCCATAGAATCAATATACCATAATTTTTAAACCAACCCCCCTGGCCCCCACTGATGGACATTTAGGTTATATTCAGTTGTTCGCTTTACCAACAAGCTATGATAAGAATCATCTATTTCCTTATACTTTTGCACATTTAAAAGTATTTGTCTCATGTCAACAACCAAAAAAGTGGAATCGTGGAAGCAGTGGTTACTAATATGTACTTGTTTATACATCCTGCCAGATTGTCTTTCAAAGTAGCTGAACCAATATATTCTCTTAACAATATCAAATGAGATAAACCATCTCCCCACACCCAAATTTGCAAAGGTGGTGGGTAAAGAGTTGCATCTTGTTTTAATGTTCATTTTCCTGATTCCGTGGGAGGTTGGACAGTATTTATTGGCCATTTGCCTCTTCTATGAATTGCTGGTTTATTTATTGCCAGTGTTACTCGGTTGACATGATTGTTGTTTCTTTAATGAGAAGGGAGAATTTGCTAAATATTCTGAAAGTTATACTCTCCTTGTCTCTGAAATTTGTTTATGGTGACTTGATCTTATTAAGGCTTAAAATTTACAGTGTAGACTTATTATAGTATTGATTTTATAAGCTAGACACACCCTCTGTTGTTATAAATAATTAATGTGATGTGGAAAAGTTACTGGTGAATTCCATACACGATGTTCAGCCACAGCTCTTGAGCTCTTAAGATGGCAGATTCAAGTCTACCTTCACAGCAAGCCAAGTTCCTTCTCTTACATCTCAAAAAATGCTTTCTTTCTCAATTGTGGGGCAAAATTGTGCTTCCTTTGAAGCAACGTTAGCCTTCACAGCTTTTATCTGCTCCCTGAATAGTCCTCTCTTTTGCTTTTTTACTTTCTGCTCAGAATGATTGTCTCAAACTTTTCTTCCATGACAATTATTTAATTTTTAGTAATTTTTTCATTTCTTGTTATTTCTATTTTTTTAAGTTGATTGTGTTTATTTGGGGGGATCTTAATTTGTTTCTACAGCTCTGCAGCCTCCACTGTAAACCACATTGTGTGTGTGTGTGTGTGTGTGTGTGTGTGTGTGTGTGTGTTTACCATCCCATCTTCAGGCTCTTGCTATATTTATTGAAGTTTTTGTGTGATTGTAAGTGCTTTGGGGAGGTTTTCTGCATCCTCCAGGTTATTTTTCCAGGTTGATTCTGTCTGCAGTTTGGTTTCTGTGCTGCTTTACTGGCTTTTTCATGTGCCTGTGGTGGTTTTATATTCCGTTTCACTCATGATGGACCCCCAACCTCCACTTTACACAGGCTTACTCTGGGCGAATGAGTTCTTTCCCCGAAATGTCCAGTCTTATCGGAGACTGAATTGCTTCCCCTCTGATCTACAGTTTGAGAGCTCTAGGTTTATTCTTACCCATTTTTCCTGAGGAAGCTTTAATTAGTTAAACCATCCTTTCCCCCCTGATCTTTGCTAACCCAGTGGTCATGTATGCAGGACCTGTTTCTTGAGCTCTCTCCTCCACCGTTGGCTGTGAGAGCCCCACCTTAAGCCCTGCACACCATGCTGTGACAGGGACCACGGCTTCAGATGAACTTTTGATATCTGTTGAAGTAAACCTTTTCTTCTCTCCCCCCAAAGTGGCTTGGCCCTTTGCATCTCCAAATTGGCTTGTCGACATCTTGCCGCGAATTTGTTTAGGATTGCACTGAATCTATAAATCAATTTGAAGAGAATTGATATCTTTCTAACATTGTGTCTTCTATCTCATTACTATGGTATATTATTAATTAAAAAATATTTTCTAGTAAAATTTATATTTCTCTACCTAGACGTCTTACACTTCTTCTGCTAGATTTATTCATAGATACTTGATATCTTTATGCTATCAAATCTACATAATTTAAAATCGATTTTCTAGCTGCTTGTTACTAAGATAAAAAATAAAGGGAAACTTTGCCAAACTCTTGAATTCTAACTTTGCCAAACTCTATCTTCTATGGAGATATATATGTATATATGTGGATTTACATGGATACATAATGACAGTTTTGTTTCTTCTGATTTAATCCCTCTACTTATTATTCCTTTTTCTTGCCTTATTGCGTGGGCAAGGACTTTGTGTATGGTGAACATGAGTACTGATAGTAATGATTCCATCTTGATCCTAATCCCAAAGGGAAAGTTTTTATCACTGCACAATTATGGGTGATGTTTGCCCTAGATTTCTTTTATAAAAAGGCTTTATAAAAAAACAGATTAAAGAAGTTTTATATTGGCATCTGATACTTTCAACATGGGAGGTGTTTGTGGCCCTGTTTTCTGTTATTTCTGCCTGTTCTCACTCACACATTTTTTAAACAAACTTTTAATTTTGGAATAATTTTATATTTACAAAGAAGTTGCAGAGACAGGTCAGATTCATTTCCTGTGACATTATCCCTCTGACATGACTATGGTACATTTTTCAAAACTGAAAAACCAATATTGGTAACATCACTGTGCATTAAACCCTGGACTTTTTTTTTCAATTTCATCAGTTTTTCCATTAATACACATTTTCCATTAATACACATTAATATACTGTTCCACAATCCAATCCAGGACTCCACTTTGCATCTAGCCATCCCGTCACTTATTCACTTCTGGTGTGTGACAGTTTCTCAGTCTCTCCTTGTCTTTCACGACCTTGGCAGTTTGAAAAGTACTGGTCAGGCATTTTGTAGACTGCCTTTTTAACTTGCGTTCATCTTGATGGTTTTCTCATGATTAGCCTGGGCTTACAGGTTTTATGAGAGCATACCAGGGAGGTGAAGTGCACAGAGGGTGCTTCTAGCTTTTTTATTTAACAATAAAAAATATTGTTAAGCCAATCTCCTCCTCACATCACATCAGGGGATATATGCCATCCTGACTTATCACCAGGGAAGTTGACCTTGATCATTTAATGAAGGTGGTGTTTGCCAGGCTCCTCCACTATAAAGTTACCATTTTCCCCTTTCCACAAAGAAAAGGGAAACATTCTCTTCTGTTCACAAAGATTATTTTGCGTGGTATCTTTGTGTACTAGCATTGTATTGGGAAAATTACTTTTAGGTAAAATCGAGGACTGAAATGAAGGTACGACTTTGGAAAGAGCTTCGGTTTGCCGCATCCAGGTACCTCCGGGAACGCTTTAACCCAAGTCAGGGTCTGAGAGCACCTGTGGGGAAGCCAGGTGGTTCCAAGACCAGACCCTTCCACTCCATTCTCACTGGGAAGATGTGTGGGGGTGGCTGGGACTCCGGCTGGACCCTCCACCTCGTGTGGACTCCAGACTTCATTTCTGTCCCCTTCACTGTTTAAAGTTGTCAAACCCGAGGTTCTGATTCCCTAGGATCCGCAAATGCCTCAAGTCAAAAGTGGCACTGTGCTTGCTTGCCTCTCTTCACCTTTACCTTTGCCTGGTTTCATCTCTTCAGTAACATTTTTAAATGCTTTTTAAAGCTGTCTTGCTTGTGGGAGTTGGGAGAGATTGGGGTTTTTGAATCCTGCCCCACCACACCAGGAATTTACAGTCATGGATTGACTAGTTGATTAGCTGTCAGTTTTCAAAGTTTATTGCTTGAGGTCGTGGTTCATGAATTTTTTTCTCTGAATGCTTTTAAGGTTTTTTTCTTATCATTTATACTGTAATAAGTCTAGATTTGTTTGTTTCTTAAAATGTTTAAATTTTTTGTTTTTGTTTTGTGTTTATCCTCTTGGGGTTTCTAGACTTCCTTGGATTTGCGAGTTGATGTCTTTTGTTTTTTTGTTTATTGGGTTCTGTTTTTTTTGGGTTTTGTTTTAATTGAAGTATAGTTGGCATGTAATATTATGTTAGTTTCAGGTGTACAACGTACTGATTTGACATGTATATACGTTGTGACACGATCACGACAGTAAGTTTAGTTACCATCTGTCACCATACAAAACTATTACAATATTACTGACTGTATTCCCTGTGCTGTGCTTTTCCTCC